GAACTATTGACCTTTAGGTTAGCAGCTGAGTGTTTAGACAGAGCTCCTTACTGAACCGCCAGTGCCTTAAAATCAAGGTACCTAGGCCTCAACCTACAAATTATTAATTCAAAGAACCATCCCTCCTCCATTTGTTATTTTTAATCAAAATAAAATAAAATAAACAGATGCACTGCATTCTGAAATATAGGTGCCAGAAGAGCCTTTTCAGGCAAAAGTACTCTTCAAATAAGCTTATTGAGGAAGATGTTTGCTCTTTGCTTCTTGGACAAATCTAAGTCAGAAAGGCTTTCCATACTCAGCTGAGATCATTTTCCACGGGGAAAAGCAGAAATAAAACTAAAAGAGAGAGGGAATAGGGCAGCATTTCCTTTTCAGCATACTCTTACCAATAGGAGGCCAGGAATGTTGACCTGATACCCACCCACCTTGAGCACTACCAGAGGAAGTACAAGAGGTGGCTTTTCTTTAGAGACCTTCCCAGGGATGCAGGAGCTCTGGTAGCATAGTGCCTAAGGCACTTGACTGCGAACCCGAAGGCTGGTCGTTCAAACCCACCAGCCATTCCTTGAAAGGAAGATGGAGTAATCTACTTCCGCAGTGATACTGCCTCAGAAACCCAAGGAGGGGTCGCTATGAGTCAGGTCTGACTTGATGGCACAAAACAACAACAATCACCCAGGGATGCCAGATAGCACATCCAGGGTATCTCATTCCTCTCTCACGTCCACCAGGGGGCACACTAAAAACTTCACATTACTTTTTTAAAGGTCTACTTGAGACAGTTCCCTAACTTCTCCAAACTTCAGACCCTCATCAGAATGGGAAGTTATGAGGGCTAAATGTGACAATTGACCCATAAATTGTCAATTATCAATTGAGCACTAGCTCTGGTATCTCTACGGAAGGAGCTCTGGTAATATAGTACCTAAGGCATTTGACTGCTAACCAGAAGGCTGGTGGTTCAAACCCACCAGCTACTCCTCAGAAGGACGATTGAGCAATCTACTTCTGTTGAGATAAAACCAAAAAAACCAAACTCACTGCCCTCAAGTAGGATCTGACTCATAGCGACCCCACCTTGGGTTTCCGAGGTGGTATCACTATGGCAGTAGATTGCCCAACCTTCCTTCCAAGGAGTGGCTGGTGGGTTTGAACCACCAAACTTCTGGTTAGTAGTCAAATACCTTAGGCACTATGCCACCAGAGCTCCTTCCATAGAGATACCACCTTGGAAACCCAAGGAGGGATCACTATGAATTGAATCCACTCGAAGGCAGTGAGTTTGATTTGGTTTGAGAGCAAAAATAAGCTTATCTGGGAAGAGTCAGCTAGCTCCTTGGGTCTGCAGGGGCCTGCTGGCTCTGGATGAAAGGAATTCTGTGCTCCCACCCTCACTAAATTGTTTAACTCATGCCAGAACTCATGCTTAACTTGCTCAGAATGGACCGACCACAACCTCACAATTAGAGAAGCTGCTTTACAACTTTTGGCAAGAAGGGTGATTGTGATTCCAACTATGAAACATGGATCCCATACTTACCAGTTCATTGTCTCAGGCTTTAAGGAGCAGTACTAGATAGCACATAACAACAACAACAACAACACTATGACACTGAACAGGTTTCAGTGGGGCTTCCAGATGAAGACAGACTAGGAAGAAAGGCCTGACACCCTACAATCAGCCAGTGAAAAACCTAAGGAAACAATGGTCTTATCTGCAACTGATCATAGAGATAGCAGGAACAGGCAATGTTTTGTTCCATTTTGCATGGGGTCACCATGAGTCGGGGGTAAACTTGATAGCAACTAACAACAAACATCCTACCAGAGGTCTAGAAGTTAGGGTCCCTCTATTCCACTCCCAGTTCCTCCATTTATACCTTGAGTAAGTATCTTCACTTCCCTGAGCCTTTGTTTCCCCATTTATAAAATGAAATGTAGAATCAATTGTTCATCTCTAGAATTCATTCCTGTTCTGCAGTTCTGTGATGCTATTCCATTCCATCAGGGCCATATTAATTATACTGATTATACTGATGCCCAGCTGGCTTTATACCTGTTTTTCATTTAGTGGAGCCTGATGGACAAGTTAGGCTTGTTTTCCAATTTTGTAAAGGAGACCAATTACCTGAGAGAGAATAACCTTTATCCCAAAACTTGAGCTTCATGTTTTGCACAAGCACGTCACACAGGCTACCATATTTACTTGCACAGCTACCTGCATATCACCTCCACATTTTCACTGATATTTTCAACTCTAAAACATGGAATATGGAGGGGAAAAGTTAAGGCTTTGGGTCTGAGGCTTCACTGGTCTCTGGGAACCTTCATTCATCTTTCAGATCCACACCTCTGTTTATTAGTTCAGTGTGACTCAGCCACATTTCCACTTATTGTTAGATTAGCCTTCTATTGTTAAATGCTGTCGAGTCGGCTCCAACTCATAGAACCCCATGTACAACAGAATGAAACACTGCCCAGTCCTGCCCCATCCTCACAATCCTTGCTATGCTTGAACCCATCGTTGCAGCCACTGTGTTAATCCATCTTGTCGAGCATCTTCCCCTTTTTTGCTGACCAGCTACTGCACCATTTCCACAGCAGTCACTGCTTAAATTCACTGGGTCCAAGACAACTTGACATGTTCCCCCTTCACTCAGCAGTTTGTCGTCCATTTGAATCAGATTTCTTGGGTATCTATGAAAGACAGTGAGAGGGAAGTGATAAAGAATGATTTGCAAGGGGTTTTTCTTCCAATTAGAGCACTTTTTCCTTAATTGTCCAAGTGGGACTGAAACACTTTTTTGTACGTGAGCTCAGTTAACTACTGGGGATCATCTTAGGGTTGGGGTGCATGGGATTGGAGGGAGCTAATTGTTCTGCCCATAGACCCGTAGGAGAGACCGATACCAAGGATGGGGTGATAGCTGAGGGAATGATCTTCCCTAACCAGCTTTTGCTTTAATTTAACCTATTCCATGTTGTTTATTAACAGTTCAGAACATCACAGTTTAAAAAGCACTTGTTTGTTTTAATCTACACAGCAACCACATGTAAGCAGCTGTGATGCAGGTTTGCAACACTCACATTCTTGGCTTTTGCCAGTACGTAAGGGCATCTTCTATGGAAAGCACCACCAGCGTAGAGGATTCACCTCTATGGTTTACTGTGGTTTAAGATCCAGTCTTGAGCTTTTAAGGAGCTCTGGTGGCTTAATGCTTAAGGCATTTGACTGCTAACCAGAAGGCTGGAAGTTCAAACCCACCAGCCACTCCTTGGAAGGAAGGTTGGGCAATCTACTTCTGTAGTGATACTGCCTCGGATCCGACTTGATGGCAGTATGTTTGGTTTTGGTTTTGAGCTTTTAGGTCCAGGAGGGTACCCAGGATAGGATCTGCCTTAGTCCAGCTCCCCATGACTGAAATAGAAAAAAGGAAAAGAAGAAAAAAAATGGATTAATTTGCAGTGAGAAAAGCAGCTGTTGGGCAGCCAGAAAGCTTGAGTCAGCAGATCGGAACATTCTCTTCTAGTATGCTAACTGTTTTAGCAGCCAGATTATAATCAGAAGGCCAATTTACTCAAAGTAAAAAATACAATCTTAAGTGGACATATTAGCTCAGCCTCTTCTGACAGATAAAGTATATAGGAAACCAAATTATCCCTGTGCTTGATAAGCAGGGAACCAGGTCAAGGGGCATTTGCTAACCGTAAGGTGTGTCTCTCAGCAAAGGCAGCTGGTGACCCCTTTTGCATGGAAGAGATAAGCTTGCCAAGAAAACTGTAACCTTAAAGTCTGGTTGTCCAAGCCTTCCTCACCCTGCTTAAACCACGGATGGGCACTGCCAGTGCTAGTCTTGGTAATTATCTGTGCTGAAAATTCTCCATTTTCTATGCTTCTGTTTCCCATGGTCCTTGCCCAAACTGGGTTACAATACAAATAATTAAGTTTTAGCTTACTTTCTGGGATCGCTTCCAAACAATCTCAACTGGAATTTTTGCCATTTTAAAACTTGTTAGTTGCACATTTGTAAACAGTGTGTGAGTGTCCTAGAGGAGCTCTAGGGGTGCAATGGCTAAAGCATTCAGCTGCTAACCAAAAGCTCAACCGTTCAAACTTACCAGCTGCTCTGCAAGAGACAGATGAAGTAGTCTGCTTCCACAAAGATTCATAGTCTTGGAAACCCTATGGAGCAGTTCTGCTCTGTCCTATGTGGTTGCCGAGTTGGGATTGACTCAATGGCAGTGGCTATGGTGTGGAGTGGTTTGGTTTGGTTTGAGTGTCCTAGTACAGATGGCTAATACAATTTACTGTGTGTGCAATTACTAGTTTAGCTTTTGAAAATCTTGTTTTTGATTTCTTAAGCAACATTGCACTTGCTATATTAAAAAGTTCTACTGTGTGTGTATGTGTGTGTGTGACAAATTTAGAAATGGAGACTCAGTGGGGTTGAGCACCTTTCCCTGGGTCACGCAGCTGCTGATTGATAGAGCTGTAACTAAAACTCAGATCTTCTGAGTTCAGCCTTCACATTTGTTCCATTGAATGTGATCAAATTGGCTACTCTTGTTGTTGTTGTTGTTGTTACTTGCCGTCGAGTCGGCCCCAACTCATAGCGACCCCTCCTTGGGTTTCCGAGGCAGTATCACTACGGAAGTAGGATTGCCCAACCTTCCTTCCGAGGAGTGGCTGGTGGGTTTGAACCGCCAGCCTTCTGGTTAGCAGTCAAGTGCCTTAGGCACTATGCTACCAGAGCTCCCACTTAGTGAGTTTCAATTTGAAGCGGAAAAGGACAATTAATGTGCTTTTAAGAATTATGTTTAGCAAATATCAATTTTCTAAATGAGGGGCTGCATGTGTGTGCAATGAAAGGTAGGAGAACATGTCAATGAAAAAGTCACTGAGATGTAGCCCTCTGTGGCAGGATATGAGGTCTACACAGGGAGGATCTGACCATCTTATCTGAGAGTAAATAGCAAGTGGATGTGTTTTGTTGCAGGATCTGAGTATAGCAGAGGCAAGAGGAAAAATCCTCCACTATAAGGTGACCTTGCAAGAAGTAGCAGGAGGGAAGACCAGACTAAAGAACATCTCAGCACATAGCTCCTCCTGTGCCTGGATCATTCCCAGAACCGGGAGCTGGGCTGTGACTGTGTCTGCAGCCAACTCAAAAGGCAGTTCCCAGCCCACTCATATTAACATAATGGACCTGTGTGGGGCAAGTAAGTACCAATTTCTTTTTAATATTGTTTGTGGGAAGCTGTGTTTTAGTAGTCTCTTATCTCCTGCAAGCCTAGCCTAGCGTGGAGTTGAGGCTTTGGACTCAACAGCTTTCAGAAGCTATCTTTTCCACTCACTCTATGAGTTAGTTGCCTTGGGCAAGTGAGTTCACACTTCTGAGCTTCCAATTTCTCCTATCTAAAATAGGGATTGTATTTCCTGTCTTGCAGGTCATTGTGAGATTGGATATAAAGACTAGTACATAACAAAAAAACAAAACCCACTGGTGTCTAGTTGATTTAGACTCAGTGACCCCATAGGACAGAGTAGAATTGCCCTATATAGTTTCCAAGGCTATAAATCTTTATGGAAACAGATTGCCATATCTTTCTCCTGCAGAGCAGCTGTTGATTTTGAACCACCAACCTTTTGGTTAGAAGACAAGTGCTTAATCACTGGGTTACCAGAGCTCCTTTTCACACTATTAGGAAATTTTTTAAAAAGTTAGACTAAATCTTGACATGCAATCCCTTTGGAATATAGATCTTGAGAAACTTCACTAGTATCCACTTTCTTGACTAATCATGGATTTTAATCCTGAGAAGTAAATTTTCAGAGGATGTGTTTGCCTGTGAAAGCAAGTGCTTAATAAATGTTAGTTAAGGAAACAGTAGTTATATTAAATTGAACACTTAACATCTGACTAATGTTGACAGAAGCAAGAGTGATATGTGTTTTCTAGTTCTAGAAAAAACATTTTATACCTATAGTCAAAACATTTTAAAACCGACAGTAATTATAGTAAAATTCCACTTGAATCTCTTTATTATACAAATTTGCATTTGTATCCAATCACCTGTATTTCTGAACTCCCAACTAAATACAGAGTCACGTATTTCAGAGGCAAACTCACATCCTCTGATAATTTACTTCTCAGGATAAAAATCTATGAGTAGCCAAGAAAGTGGATATTGCTGCTGTTTTGCATATTACAGAGGGATTGCATGTCAAGATTAATAGTCTACCATTTTTTAAATTTTCCTAATACAGTGAAACTCTATAATTAAAGTCTTGCTTCAAATTCAATATAACAATTTTATTTACATGTAGACCTAGCAATCATCATTTCGAAGAAGCTTCTACAAAGCATTATTATTTTATGTGCATTGTTAAATCTTAGTTATATGTATTTTCACTCATACTCATATACCTGAAAATATATATACACATATATATATATATGTATATGTATATGTATTTATATATGTAACAGGAAAAAAAAAAAAAAAACCTGCCATTGAGTGGATTCCAACTCACAGAGACCCCCATTGAGTTTCTAAGGCAGTAAATCTTTACGGAAGTAAATTGCTTTATCTTCCTTTCATGGAGTGGCTGGAGGGTTTGAACCACCAACCTTCTGGTTAGCATCCAAATGTCTTAGGCACTGCCCCTACTAGACGAAAATACAAGTTAATATTGGTATAACCTTGGGTGGTATGGGAGCTCTGGTGGCATAGTGCCTAAGGCATTTGACTGCTAATCAGAAGGCTGGCAGTTCAAACCCACTGGCCACTCCTCGGAATAAAGGTTCAGCAATCTATTTCTGTAGTGATATCACCTTGGAAACCCAGGAGGGGTCGCTATGAGTCGGATCCAACTCTACGGCAGTGAGTTTGGTTTTGGTTTTTGGGTGGTGTATGAGTTAGGAGTTAGAGTTGCTCTTACCAAGGGCCTGACTCCAGTGACTTATCTATTCTCGTACATAAAAGAAGTCCAGATGTAGGCAGCCAAGGGCTGATGTGACAGCTTCATGACCTTATCAAGAACCCAGGCTCTGTCTTTCTGTTTCCTCTACGAAGCTTGGCTTTCCTTCTCAAGATGGAAATGGTCCAAGATGACGCTATATCTCTACCTATCACCTTCTGTTGTTGTTGTTAGCTGCCATCAAGTCAACTCCAACTCATAGCGACCCTATGCACAACAGAACGAAACACTGCCCAGTCCTGCACCATTCTCATAATCACTGTCATGCTTAAGCCTGTCATTGCAGTGACTGTGTCAATCCATCTTGTTGAGGATCTTCCCCTTTCTTACTGTAAGGAATGAAGGTAAAAAGAAAGGTTTCCCCCTCAATATTGAGGAGCTTTGCCACAAATCACACACAATACTTGTACTTACTCGTCAGTTGGTCACCTTATCACACTTAGCTACAAAGGATGCTCAGGAATTTATTTCAAGCAGCAATGCTAGTTGCCAGAGTTGATTCTGACTTACCAAGACCCTGTATGTATCAGTAGAATGATATTCCATGGAGTTTTCAGCGGCTGATTTTTTGGAAGGAGATTGCTACCTTTCTTCCAAGGCACCTTTGGGTGGGTGTGAATCTCTTACATTCCCATCAGCAGCTAAATTTACCAGGACCATTTGCACTGAGGGACTCCTTCATGCAACAATATTTGTTGTTGTTATGTGCCATGGAGTCAGACCCAACTCACAGCGACCCCTCCTTGGGTTTCCGTGGTGGTATCTCTATGGAAGTAGATTGCCCAACCTTCCTTCTGAGGAGTGGCTGGTGGGTTTGAACTGCCAGCCTTCTAGTTAGCAGTCAAGTGCCTTAGGCATTACGCCATCAGAGCTCCTATAGTCCCTGCCAAAGAAGATGAGAATAGGATATTTGGCAGGCAACGTCTAATCTCTCCCTCAGATGAAGAAGGCACCTAAGGCAGAGACCTTGAAGGAAACTTTATGGATAGCCATTTGGCAATATGTAACAAACTTTAAATATTAGCATATCTTTCAACCCCAAAATTGTACCATTAGAAGTGTATACTGAACAAATAATAGGATAAATGCTAAAAAATGTATGTTTGTTGAAATATTGCTTGAAATATTAAAACACTAGAAACTATCTAAATGTACAACAATAGGGGACCAACTGGTTAAATACATCATGATCTTCACCTGCCTTCCATAACTAACATTAAAGTGATGTCAATCATAGCTGTTTTTATGTATATGGAAAAATGCATTTATTACCCTTAGTTAAAAAGTCAGCTTTCCAAGTCTATATGGGATAATGACATTTAAATTATATATATGCATGAACATACATTTTTGTATAGGAAAAAAATGTCTATAGAAATGTTGAGAGGTTATCTCTGCATCATGGGATTATGGATAATTTTTCCTCCTTTTTAGCTTTTTATATATTTTTGAATTTATCTTCAGTGACTAAATACTATGTATATAATTTTTTAAAGTTAATTCTATGGAGGAAATTGAAAGCATACCAATGATGTTGCTGCTTTAAAAATGATGAAAACACATTACTTCTTAAAATCTCACCACAGATGGATGTTACTGATATGAATCTCATGAATTTGATGGATGCATTCCAGATTCCTTATTTAGATTTAGTAACAACTTCTTCAAATGCCACATTCATTATTTTAGAGTTATCCTTTACTTTATTCATTCAACAATCATTTGCTCAGCATATACTACAAAAGGGAATTAGATTTCAGCAATGTGTTAAATTATAGCCAAAGTCCTGAAGTTATTTATAGTCAAGTGGAAGGACAGACAGAAACAAGTAAATTGTACTACATTATAGTAACTGTAGGAGCTCTGGTAGCATAGTGCCTAAGGCACTTGACTGCTAACCAGAAGGCTGGTGGTTCAAACCC